CAATAAACAGAGTGCATGTCGTAGGTAATGAATTGAGATCAAATGTGAAAAGATGTACAACTTTCACATTTAAGGAGTACTTGCACAAATCTTAAATTCAAATGACTTGTTTCTAGTAGTGGAATATGGTGGAAATATGCATTATTTTATTGGTGTTCTATGTTTCTCTTCAAAGCCATGTGTGATGATACAGATGTCAGTGAAGGACCCCAGCATTCTTCACTTCACAATATAAATGCTTTTTATCAGCAACTACTTCAAGATGCAATGATGAGTACTTATGCTAAATCATTGCCACTTATAACCAGGTTAAGTGCATAGTGTATCAAAAAGCAAAACATCGAAATCCCAATATTAATTGCAATTTTCCAAAAATACTAAATGCACTGTACTAAATGGGTGGAAAACGTATGTCAAATTTAGGGCCAGAAATTAAGAGGAAGGTTTGTTTTTAAGTCACTTTTCTGCTGCCTGAGATTAATGTTGGTTTTGAGGCATTTGTATTTTATTCATGTTGTTTAAAAAACTGGTAGAAATAATGTTACTCATGTTACAAGGTATTTACTCTTGCAACTTTATCTTTGAACCTCGAAAATCACACAACTTCACTTGGGACTCTTCCGAGCAGTTTTCATGAATTTTTCGCGAGGTGTCGGTGTTTTTAACCTTGGTATCATTTCAATCACTGTATCCATTCACTTTTTTTTCAGACATTTAGAAAACAAACTGCAAAATTATATGTTCCTCACATTCACTTGTTTATTTTTTCTTTTTTTAAAGTATGATACTTTGTACAAAATGTCCAGAGTTTATTGACGTGGCTGCCTGTAGCCAGTGGCTGCTGAAATGGGCTGCATAACTTGCAGGTTGGGGATGTTTCCAAAGTCCTGGAAGTAAACATTTAAATTTTAAAACATAATTTGTTTCTAAATATATTCAAATATAATTGAACAAAATAGATAAATTAGATAAAAAAAAAAAAGTAACTAGCACATGATCACACTTAGTGAATTTTTTATAGCTACTGTAATTGACAGTGTAGTACTATGGTATTCTTCTTATCAATGAATTATCCAACCCCAATAAACCTGACATTATTTAGATGAAGATACAGTGAAAACTGCTCTTAAAAAAACTGAATAGTATGCTACAACACACGAGAATCAGGTTATCAAATGGTTAACACCTTCAGTACAGATTTCCATTAAAAATGACAATCAGACACCTACCAACATCTTCAACATTTCTTTAGTGTCTGGGTCAACCTCAAGAGGATCTTGCTCAATTGCTGAAATCTGGAAACCAGAGAAAGTGGTGCCATTATAACTAACAGTATAGTTCAGTGTGCAATACTAGGATTGAGAATTAAGAATTGGTTCCTCTTAAGTGTACTTTCTTTTGGGATACTAACTTTTAGCCAGTTTTAGAAATGAGTTATGTAATAATGCTTGCCATTTTTACTTTCACATTTGAAATGAAGATCTTGTGTCCCTATTGCTAAGTCATTACCAAACAAATTTAATGAAATTTATGAAATAGTACAATTTGACTCTATGTTTCAAGGGTACTTAAAAATGATACATAAACCATTGAACAAAACTGCAAAGCAAGTAATTCTTTCTAACAAACAGAGCATAATTTTGTCAATATGATTTCCAATGCAACAGTTAATGAGAAATAGAATGTTTAGTTATGTAATGAATAAGAGAACATTAATCCACATAAATGTGGTTCATATGATTTATCAATTATCTGGTAAACATTTTGCTTCACTCTCTTAACAAAAATGACCGTGATGTGTCATCAGGGCTTTTCCCAGAACTGGGGGGTGCAGGCCACCCAAAATTACCACCTGTAATTTCCTACACAATTTTGGGGAGTCCAAGTATGCCTAAAGCCATCGTATTTCAAAAATCAAAA